ATCATTTAGTGAGTTGGGCAAATAAATGGCAGATGGGTTTTAATTATAATAAATGCAAGATAATGCATGTGGTTTATCATAATTTGAATTATAAGTATAATTTGGATGGGAATAACCTTAATAGTGTTATGAAGGAAAGGGATCTTGGTATAATAGTCGATCAGTCTCTAAAGCCATCCAAGCAGTGTGCTGTTGCTAGTGGTAGGTCAAATAGAATTTTAGGTTGTATGTATAGAAATATTGAATACAAATCTAAAGAACTCATACTTTCATTGTACAAGTCATTTGGAATATTATGTTCACTCTTGGGTTCCTTATTAGGAAGGACATTGAATTGTTGGAAAGGGTTCAAAGGAGGGCTACTAGAATGGTGCTTGGGATGGAGGGGTTGTCATATGACGAGAGGCAGAAATCTCTCCAATTTTCTCTTGAAAAAAGGAAGAGTTGGAGGGTATCTGATTGAGGTGTTTAAGACTGTAAAGGAAATTGATAGTGTTGATGTATCATTTTTTTTATATTTAACTATGAGAATAGTAGGACTAGGGGACACATAAATTTTGGCAAGGTAGGAGTCATCTTCAGTAAGGCGGTTTTATTTTTCTAACAGGGTGGTTGGTCTTTGGAATGGGTTGCCTTCAGATGTTGTAGAGGCAGTAGATTTAAGTGAGTTTAAGAAAAAGCTTGAAAAGTATATGAAGGAAAGGGACTGGGTTTAACATTTTTTTAATTTTATTAATCATTTTAATTTAGTTTTCGAGGATGGAACAGCCGAGATGGACCAATAGATCCCATGTTGTCCCAAAATAATATGTTATATGTTATTTTTACTTGTCATTGTTGAAACTAGTCTAAAGTATATATTAAGTTATGGTTTTAATTTGTATAAAGTCTTAAGTTTTACTTTGAAGTCTTTTGTCAATTTAGGTTAGCAAATACCATAAATAAAAAGAGCCTCTGATACTCAGGCAGTGATAGTATGATTATGAAGTTTTATGATTAATATAGTTGTAGTGATTAGTTTTCATATTTTTGCTACTAATACTACCACTATTATTAAGTTTGAGGGATATTCTCCAGAATGACACCATCAGATTACCATTTTTTTTTATTTGCTGCAACACTATCTTAATGGGAAAACTTATGCAAATGTGGAAGGTGTTAAAGAAGACATTGACATGTTTTTTGCTTAAAAGCCAAGTGATTTCTTTAATCAGAGTGTTAACAACCTGATTGTAAGATGGAAAAGCATCATTGATAAGAGTCGAGACTATTTGATTTAATAAATATTTTGTTTTGATATACAAGTTGTTCTGATTTTTTCATCTAAAAATAAGTGACATTAATTTACTGATGACCTAATACATATATATGTGTGTAGCAATTTCTAAACTGTTAAGTTTGCTGTCATTCTATAAATTTCTATCTTTTATATATGTATATGTTTCAAAAGCACTGATAAATAAAAACTTATGATTACTTTAATTAACTTAGGGTTGCATTTTATTTCAGATTAAAAAATATTTAGTTATTATTAAAGCCAAAATAAATAAATTAGGCAAATTGTTTTGAAGTCTGTGTAATTAATGATTAGTTTGAATTGCACACTGATATCAGCAAATATGTTCTTGACCTAAGTGATCCGCATGATTAGTTTTGAATTGCACACTGATATCAGCAAGTATGTTCTTGTCCTAAGTGATCCACATGATTAGTTTTGAATTGCACACTGATATCAGCAAGTATGTTCTTGACCTAAGTGATTCACATGATTAGTTTTTAATTGCACAATTAGGCAAATTGTTTTGAAGTCTGTGTAATTAATGATTAGTTTTGAATTGCACACTGATATCAGCAAGTATGTTCTTGACCTAAGTGATCTGCATGATTACTTTTGAATTGCACACTGATATCAGCAAGTATGTTCTTGACCTAAGTGATCCACATGATTAGTTTTGAACTGCACACTGATATCAGCAAGTATGTTCTTGACCTAAGTGATTCACATGATTAGTTTTTAATTGCACAATAATATCAGCAAGTATGTTCTTGATCTAAGTGATCCGCATTACTCTTTGTTATCTGGCTGAGACTTTAATATTGTATTTACATTTTGAAAATTCACAGTAATTCTTCTAAAATGTTTTAGTAATAGGAATTAAGTGTAAAAATTATAAAGACTTATAATGATGTTTTATCTCTTGTACAATGCAAAAGTGATGTAACCATTCATTTTATTTATTCAGTTCTATCTCTATATACTTGCTCATTTTACCCCATCTTGCCTGTATCCTATTGATTTTATATGGTAAGTATAAGTAAGGATATTACTGTTGTTTAAAGTTGCTGTGTACCTTTTCTTAAAGTGGAACTAAGATGAAAAACTTGTAAATTCATAATATTCACCTTGATCTTTTTCTTTATTTTGCAGGATTTCCTGACAAAACCTGAAAAAAGAAAGAAATTATCAGTTACTACAACTATGGATCAATGGCTTGTTTCATATTAGAATTTATAAGCAGTAAAGCCTTCATAGTTAAAATCGGATGTTGTCTTTGAAGCTTGTTGCTTGCAGATCTCTGAAACAGCCATGAAGATTTTCTAGAAATGTTTATTAACAAAGAATTAGATTTGGTTGCTGCAGACATTAATCTGGTATCACTCTTTTTCAAAGCTGAGACTTTGATTTGACTTAGATCCAATAGGAACTGTGTATTTTAAGCATTCTCTGTGTACTTCTGTCAAAAACTGTTCTGGTTAGCTTGTGCTCATTGAGTACACTAAATGTTTGTAAATATTAAGAGCTTAACTTGGTAGCAATAATTTTTTTGTATAGTTAAAGTGTGGAACAACTGATTATCTCAAAGGTAAGCTACAGTTAGTTTGATGAATTTAAGTAAAATCAGATAATATTTTGATATAATCATATAATCTTTATGGATAATTACATAATATTTATATGTTATTAGGTAATCTTTTTATATAATCTGATAGTAATTGTATGATCAGATAGTCTCTAAGTGTAGTTAGCTAATCTTAATATTTGAATAGGTGAGCTCTGTATATGTTTTTAAGTAACTCATTTGGTATAGTATATATTTATATATTTCCTAACTTGTAAACACTAAAGAAATATGAAAAATAATTATCTAATTGAAGGACTTCTAGCTGCTGTACAATTTCAGAATATTCCACAACTGCAAAAATGATAAAGGTGGGAATTCTGTGAGAAACGTTTGTTTTCTATTCAGTTGGAGCTATTAAACATACTTAGAATGAACTTTCAATAACTTAGTTTTTAGTTAGTTGATGCCTAAAGGTCCCGTAGAATTAACATTATACACTTATCTTAGCATTGGGTAATCTGCTTGATAATTATTGAAAATACCTCTAAATTTTAAATCCTAAGTGCTGACCTGTCCTCAGATGAGAGTTTCACATTTCTATTGTAAGGATTATAAGTGTGTGTAATCTCTTCTTGTGAAGAGGAAATGTATGGTCGATAATAATATTTTTTAGACCTGTTATATATTAGTATGATATGTTTTTCTTATGTTGGCATTCAGTCATCTACTTATCTATAAATAAAAACTAAACCTAGTCTGACATATCCAGTTATTTGTTGCAATAATAACAACAAAGTAACCTTACCAGTATTCTGCTGCCTCACTGTTCTCAAAGATATATGTTATACTCAGTTTAAACCAATGCCTCAGCTAAACCCTTTCCTAAGTTTATAATTTAAAAAGATATAAAATCCTGCTTAACCAAAAGCTTATACTTGCATGCAGCTTCCTAGAAATTTGCCATCAATTAAAACATATTACTCTTATGACTATTGATTCTTTCCATTGAAGGTAAGCTTGAGTGATTGTCTTCATTCTTCATGTTATTTAACACAGTTAATTTAACAGTTCTTTTCAGTACCCTCTCAGCAAATAGTACACCAAATATTTATATTAAAAAAGCATAGTGTATGCAAGATCTTATTCATTGGATGTAATTGTTTTTTTAAAACATAAATTATGAACTGCCCTGCAGAACAAACCTATCAAGTACTGAAAGCAATAGTTGAGCTCTATACGTAAATGTGACTCAAACTGTAAAAAAAAGAAACTGTTTATTTATCGAGAATTTTTTCTTTGTATAGGTAAAGTATCTTATGATTAAAATATTTTGGTTGTTGGGGGTGGGGGCAGGAGAAACAATCCACCCTCCCAAAAGAAAATTAGTAGAACCTGACAATAAAGACCAATTTAATGCTTTTTTATACTGTATGAGCTATAAAGCTACAATAGAGTCTGATACCAAGTTTCATTCTGCAGCATATTTATCTGGACAGACATGCTTACCTTCAAATACACCATTTTAAGTGGCACATTTGCTAATATAACTATATATATTTTATGTGCATTTTTAGTCATACAAAGGATAGGTTGTTCCACTGATCTGATTGGTTTCTGAATATTTTTATCATGATTTGTATTTTTCTCTGGTTTATGATTGTCCAGATATATTAATTTAAATGGCTTTGTAATACCGTTACTGAAATTTTGAGGTTGTTTAAACTAATATTATAAATCTTTAAGTTATTTCTGGAAATGCCTTTCATTTTTTAGCCATGCGATGGAGTAATTTCAGATACCTAATAGAATGGAATACATTGTGAATTGTGATGTAGTAGTTTAGTTTCTTACTCTGTGAATAATTTTCACAATTATTTCATTACTGGACCTATACAGGATTTCAAGTAAGAAGAACATAATAACATCTAGACCTCACACATCTTGTCAACAAGACCTTTCCCTTAATAACAGAGCACTTGGGTACACTGGGAAAGTAACATGGCAAACCTTGGTCGAAATGCTATAGAGTGTAGATCACGTCTTGCTGGTATTAGGCTTACCAAAATAATAATTATACTAAAAATGTATGTCCACATGAATACAGTGTAATATTTTGTTTGAAATTATATTATTAAAATATCTTCAGATAGAATAGCCTTTTATATCTATCGCTAGGACTATTCAGTGACTGTGATATTTTAGTTGCTGTAAAAAGCTTTAGCTCAAGGAAAGTGCAAGCTGAAAGGTTGGATAAATAATGTTTTTTTTTCTGGAGCATAATTCATGTGATTGACAGCGCCCTTAGGGCTAATTGTTGGAGTTTCAATTATACTGCCAATCACACCAAATTTTTATTGAGTGGAGGATTGCAGTGGTGAGTGGAGCTCACAGTTTGCTAACTCGAGGTAATTTACAGTTAGAATAAAGAAACTGAGACTGATATTTAAAACAATACATCAAATTTATTTAAGTTTCTCAACATAAAATATATTTCTTTAATCATTAATCATTGACTTTTCATTATAGGACATGTTTGGGTTAACAACACTATTATTTGTATCTCGTTCATAACACTAAGTTTCTTAGCTTTTATATGTTTCTTTAGAGTCCATTCAATTCACATTAATTGATTAGGAGAGAAATAGTTTCATTAGTTACAACATAGTTGAGCTAGTAAATCTTTGCAGTTGAGGAACTTTCATAACTACTGGCTTATCAGTGACTCTGGGGAGAATCTCTATTCTTCCTGGAGAGAACTCATTTTTAGCTCCAGACATGAGTTTTTAAATCATATTTTTTGTATTCTGTCGACCTTCGAAATAGCATTCCTAACTACCCACAAGTAGTTCTAACACTTTATTGACCAATCTGTGCAACTTCCCAGGCTAATCCAAAACAAGAACCAAAACTCTCAAGTAATTGATTACTGTGATGGTGAGTGCTCCAGTTGCCTTTTCACTTGTACTATTACACTGGTCTGGAGTAACTGATCTCGCATCAAAGTGCCAATTTGAGATGTTATCATAAACTTTTTAGTAGCCTTTACTGTACTACTAACTTAGTGTCGTAAGTTTATCATTGTCAATCTTATGGTTAGCATTTTCCTCAACACCCTGTTGTAGCTCCATTTTTTATAACTCCTAACTCATGATTCTCAATACCACTTAACCAGCTAGCTGTACTTTCCTAGCTCTTGACCTTATTTCGTAATAAAGATGTCTTTACTTATGCTGTTTTTTAATGTATATGTTCACTTAAAAAAAAACTCAGAAAATTGTTATAACTTCTTTCCTACATTCTTTTAAAATACTAAAAACACTCAAGCAATTGTAAAATTCCCTCAAACATATCCAATTGTTTCAGTCACTTTTAAAATGAGTTCTTTACTCCAGTATTTACTGGCTATAAAAAACTCGTGAATGTCTTATTCTATACCAAGGAGTTTGAGTTTAGAAAGAGCAAAACTATATTGTTTGTTAAGTCAATGAACATTTATAAATTTGTGTTGTTTAGCTGTTAAAGAAGTAAATTTATTTGCATAACAGTTTTATCAACTGCAAATTCACAGAGCATATCCAGAGCCTTTTTTCAGACTTTCTGATTTTGGTTAAAATTCTGTTTTCTTTATTTTCCCTTTATAACATAAAAACATGTCTAAACTTTTATACATGCTTGGAAAATATTTCTTAGTTTTGTTCTTTATGTAGCCATAAAACAATACAACCATGTTTCATTAATTTGGTAATCTTACATTCCATTATTGTCAAACATTTTTAACCTACGTGGTCAACTATACATCAGCTCAAAACTTATCTTAAAAGGGCATGGAGCAACAAAATGGAGAAAGGTAAATGACTTACTTATCAGTGGCTGTATGTTACAAAACTTGAGATTTTTTTCAATTATCTGTTTAAATTGCTGTTAATATGAAGATTCATGGTTTATTGCTGAAAAAAATTTTTAGAAGTTCATATTTTTATGTAAAGTTGTTCTGTAGTTTGCCAGTACAGTAGAAAGCAAAAAACTTTAAAATTTGTATCAACAGGTATTTGTTTTTGGTCTGAAAATAATTCCCACTTGATTTATGCATAAAATAAAAAGCATTTGAATTTTTAGATAGTTGGATATCTTATTCATTTTGAAATTTTATTTTGCATACAAAACTTATATTCTTAAGAAAATGAATGTGTCAGAAAAAAATCTTCTTTATGTGTCTTTTATAGCTTCAACAACGTTTTTTTAAGGAAATGTTATGAGAACTATTTACATGATATTTCTTCTATTAAAAAAATCAGTACAGGGGCTGTACAAATAAATAGAAACACCCAGTGGCAACAGCTTGATAATGTGTTGTTCCACTTTTCGTTGTTAGAACTGCTTCAATTTTTTATAATAAGGCATCATCAAGTTCCTGAAAAGTATGATAATGAATTAGATTCCATTCCTTGAGGACACAGTTGGACATAAAGTAGAGTGGTTTCAGTCACTGATATTCCAACCATGCCGTAAAACTTTTGATATTGTTTTTCTTGCATAGCGAAGAAGTTGTATAGTTTGGGTCACAAAATCAACTGTTAATTAGGCTTCTGAAATCTGTCCTCTTTGAAATTAGTTAAGTCAGTTTACTTTTCTATGTTGTATGACAATTGCATGTATCATATATTTAAGTAATACAGATCATTTGTCCAAAAGGTCATTAGAATAAGAAATTAATCAGTCACCCAAGGATTTTGTCCAATTAACATCTTGGGAAGAATGTATACATCTTTAAGCTTGTGTTTCCTTTTTTTGAACTCCTGTATTTTTTATTATGAATCTATTTCCACAAAACACATATTTCATTATTTTTTCTTACATATTATCTAGATTATTAATAATTTATGTGCTATTTATATTTCCATATACAATAACCATGATTGAAAACATTTATTCAGTAGGTTTTGCATTAAATTATTTTATTTTACCAAGAAACATTATAATGTAATTATCTGTTAATAACTGTGTTCTTTTAATTTTTTTATGAACTACAAAGAAGGTTTTCAGACCTACATTACAATGATAATATTACTAATGTACATACAAAACACAAGGTGAGAATAACTAGGCTAAACATTTCATGAGGGTAAACAAGGATGTCAGTTTAATCATTGGTGGCATTATTATTATGTGATATTTTGTAAGAGGTTTATATGTAGGGTTTATCGTCCATGCCGCATTGAGGAGACCGAAGTAATTCTGTTCTCAGAAAGCATGCGAAGGCCTGTTATCTGTGGGGATGCTAACATTATAAAAATGACAACACCAAACCAGGTAAACTTTGTTACATTAGTATACTACCTAATTGAGTGTTAAGGAAGTAAAAAAAAACTTGTTGAAAATAATTACTATTTTAACCATAGTTTTCATTAAACTTAGTTTTTGAGGTGGTTATAATTAATAATAATTATTTACTTTTTTAATTTTATTTTTTAGTTATTTTTTATTACTTGTAATATATATTGTATTGTTCTTTTTGCACTGTTAACATGTAGTCTAGTGTTGTTTTTGAATGCATTAATTTTTGAGATATATGTATGAATGTATACTGTAATATCAATAAGATGATTTTATACACTTAAACAGTTTTGTGTTTATAAGATATATGTAGACAGATGGTACCTCCAATATTGTGTTCGAGTTAGAGTAGTTTGAGGAAACACAGTTATGTTCCTCTAAAGTATATTGCATGTAAAAAAGAAAACAAGTAAGAAAAATCTTATAACTTACTTAGTGCATCCTTTTTATTAGTTGATTAATTCTATCACACTTTAATTTCTTCTTTGGTTTTTATTATATAACAAATCCATGGAACTAGCAGATTTGTCAGTTTTTTGCTTTTTGGGTGTTTTTTCTACTTCACATTGTGAGTAGAACTGTTAACAAGCTAGAATGATGCTGTGAATTTATATTTATGGTTAACTAAGTTATTTTTAAGGAACTCTTTCTATTTTTGTATCGTGAACCACATCTTGTGGCTGTTCTCCAGATATCTGTCAGTTGTACATTCTACAGTCATTCTGATCTTATGTTCAGCTTCACATCTACCTTTTTCCTCTCTCTATTATATATAATACATGTATTTCACACGACTCAGTAAGGTTATTGTGTTTTAGTGAAGTTATTTAGCAGCATTTATTTTTCTGTCCTAAAGTGTTTATGGATACTTGTGGTTAGAGTAGTATGCTATGCTGTAATTTTTAATTAACATTTATATCCTGTCTTTTCTGCTATTGTTTATAAATATTTAGAATTAAATTGTTTTTGTAATTCACATGTAGCAAATAATGTATGTTGCAGTGTTGTCATATTTTACATTTTCTTGCATGTTTGTAATTTTAGAGCTATATCAATAAACATCAAATTGATGGCTTGCTATTGATTCTGTTAGTTTCATTTTTGTTTAGAAGAGTATTGAAGCTCATAATAAGTTTCTAGTGCATTAGAAAGGTTCATATACATTTGTTTCTTATGCTATCTGATGAACTTATGCATTGTAAAAGTAGTGACTGCTCGATTAAAAACTGATTTGTAAAAAGACCATATCCTGTATGTTTAGTGTTGTTAGTTCTTTGTTAAGTAGATATGATGTCTGTTACTTTGTATCACTTGAAATATGTGTACTGTATTGACTTAAATTATTTATTACTTGATGTTTTGCTGCTACTGGCAAGAGACTTACAGTCTATGAAAGTTGTTTTTGTTTGTTTTTTTATATCATATCAGCAAAATCATGAAACTGGCTGTGAAAGCCATATGGATCGATTTCGGAAGTTTCTTAGTTCTTCCCAAACCAGAAGAAAAACCTTTGGAGTTCCTTTAGAAGTCTTAGTAGAAAGAAACTCTTCTCAGAGTTCAGTACCTTTTGTGGTGAACAGGCTTTGCCACTTTATTCTGGAAAATGGTGAGGAGGTTCTTTTATATAGTGTGATTCCTCTTGAGCATTTATTGTTAACAATGCACAACTGTAATATCATTTTGTCATATTTTTGTTTTCTAGAAGCTCTTACTTCATTCAAATTGTGAACTAGAAAAATTTTCCTGAAAATAAGCTTTTTAATTTTCTGTATTCTTTATATTAATTTCATTTAATCATATGTTGACTTAATTCCAGAAAAATATGAGTATTACTTTATAAATTTAAATTAATTTGTTATAGTTAGTGAATTTTGGGTGATTTTAAATACCTTATATTTTAGCACTATTTCATTCTAAATAAGAGTTACTTAAACAGTATGGATATTCTGTTAGAAGTTCTGGAGGTATCTCATAAATTTGGATAATAAATGAGGTACAAAAACAGCTAGAAATTTGATATAATTCCTTGAAATGTGTTGATGCTTCACCAACATTAATACTTGCGAAACACCAATGTATGTTAAATAATGCTTTTATATCCTATCTTTATGGGCCAGGTGGTTAGGCAGCTCGACTCACAATCTGTGGGTCGCAGGTTCGAATCCCTGTCCCACTAAACATGATCGCCCTTTCAGCCATGTGGGTATTATAATGTAATGGACAATCCCACTATTCATTGGTAAAAGAGTAGCCCAAGAGTTGGCGGTGGGTGGGGATGACTAGCTGCCTTTCCTCTAGTCTTACACTGCTAAATTAGGGACGGCTAGCACAAATACCCATAGTGTAGCTTTGTGCAAAATTCAAAACAAACAAACAAACCTATTTTTTACTTTTTTTAATGGATATTTTATGTTTGTAACCGTGAAGTCAATAGTTCTTACAAAATCCACATTCAAAGAAAAAATATTGAAATATTGTTTAGTTATGATGTTGAATTTACAAAAATATTTCTTCTACATTTTGGCATTCATATTAATTAATGTTCACTGAATTTTCTTAGATGAAACATTAGTATGGTAGTATATATATATATATATATATATTAAGAAACATATTTTAATGAGATTAATTATTAATGTGATTTGCATATTTATTTTTTTGTGCCAAACAGTATGTTAAGAGTGATAAGTGTTGAGAATTTTTATTTATAGGTTTAAAGCAGGAAGGTATATTTAGAATAGAGGGGAATGCCCACTTGATAGACAAACTGAAAACTGCTTTTGATCAGACTGGAGATGCTCTGTTAGAAACAGAAGGTGATGTGCCATCTGTTGCCAGTTTACTGAAGCTCTTCTTTCAAGAACTTCCAGAGCCTGTCGTCCCTGTTTCACTGTGTCCTGAATTTCTTAATGCAGTTAGAGGTGATGTGTTTTTTAGTTTTAGTTTTTTTTACACTTCAGTCTGGAGGGAAGTACAAGTACATATGAGTTTTGTATTATTTATTAAACAGAAATATAAGAGAACAGTAAAATGGAGCCAATTTTAATATTTTTATTCTTAGTTTTTTTAGTATGGCTTGAAAGAATATAAAATTATAAAGGTGATACTTTCAGCTAAATATATCATTTTGTTTAAAAATTTATAATATATAAACTTGTAAATTTTTAACTATATATATATAT